GCCAAAATGGGGCGGCGGTGCCATGCGAGTTCCGCCATTGGGACCTTTGGTGGAGCTCTCTATGGGGCCACGAAACGTGTGAGGGCTGTGCCGAAACAGAGACATGCGGAGAGCAAAAGCCAGGATGGGGCAGGAGGGAGGAGGGGAGGTGGAAGGAAGGAAGGAGACGCGGGGCACCGTCTCTTCAAAACGAGGACCCAACACCACAGGATGGTTGGGAATGACTCAGGATGTAAGGCCAGCCCTGAGGAAAGGGTCGGGACTTCCGGGGACCGCGTATTGAGAAAGTCAGAGCGTCGCATGTCTGGGATCGCTTGTCTGTTCGCCGAAACAGAGCTTGCTCCTTGCTCTGCAAAGAATCAGATCGGCGCTGTGGTCATCCCACCAGGCCGTTTAGAAATCTTGGAATGATTCCCGGTCGCGCTTTCGTGAAACAGTGCCATTGGATATCGCCAGATCAGTAGAATCATATTGATAGCGGGGGCGCCAGTCAAAGCGATGCATGGATCAGACCGAGCGGCCCTCAGCAATGAAGCCCTCCGTGGAGCCTCTTGGAGGCATCTCGGAGGTCTCTTGGATCAGTCTCGGGGCCACTCGCTGGGGCCCGTTCGGGGCTCCGTGGCGCCAGCTCCACAGAGGCCCCCCGCCGCTGCTGCGACGGTCGTGGCGGCGTGGCTTCACAAGTTTTCCGGCTTCACACGGCTCACAAGGCTAAGTCCCAAGTTTCCCCAAGTTTGGGGGTCCTACACGATTCACAAGTTTTCTGGTTTCACCTTCATGTTCATGTTTTTGTTCCTGGCTCCCACCTGCGGGTCGGCTTTGCCGGTTCTGGCCCAGCACGCTTCGGCGCGGCACGCTAACCCTGTCCCACCAGTCCCCAAGCGTCCCCCCCCCCGCCCCCCCCGTTCCCTGCCCTGCCCGGCCCCCCTGGTGCCACCACTGGGCCCCAGGGAAACAGGCGGATCGCCTCTCGCTCGTCGCCCTGAGAATCGGGGGCGGCAAAGAGGGGGGTGATGACTAGGGGGGGTGGATATCAGGGCGTGGGCCGTGATGTTCCCAGACATCGGGCGTCTCGAACAAATCGAGACGGAGGTTTTCCAGATTCTCGGCCTCTCGAGGCCCTCACCGGGCCTCGGGACCGTCAAAAAACGACTCTGGATGGAAAACTGGTCCCGGGGAAGTGGTCGGGAGGTCGGGGGGCCGTGTCTCGAAAAAATCGAGACGTCGGATGTCTGGGTTTCCCCAGATTTCATGGCGCCTCCTCTTGTTTCATTACGTCCCTGGCCCTCGCCTGGGCCGCGCACGCGCCGCTGGCAATGATTTGCGCCCCCCCCTCTTTGACGCCCCCTTCTTGGCCGCCCCCGGGAGAAGGGGCAGTCGTACAGCCCCTTCCACCCGGCGGGTCGCAGCCCCTGACCCAGGCCGAAGGAAAACGGGCCTCGGATGGCCGCGCCGCGCCTGGCCGCCTTCGCGGGCAGGGGCGCGCAAGGCGACGGCGCTGCAGTGCATTAGCGGGCGAAGAACGGTATAAAATTAGCCTGGCGAAGGACCCAATCATGTGCAGCTGCGAGTACCGCACGGATATGAGACGAAGGAGGGGGCACGCAAACTAGACCCTTCTTCTCATAGGCACCGCGCCACAGCACGGACGAGGCACAGGGCAGCGCGGGCAGGAGGTGGCGGGCGGAGGAGGAGAGCTCACTGGGGCGAGCCAACACATCAGTATCATCATCGCATCATGAGACCTGTTACTGGGCACGCAGGAAGAGGTGGCGGAGACACCGTGTAGATGTCGAAGGCAGGTCAGCAGCGGCAGAGACGAGACCGGGGGGGCCCGCGGTCAAGAAGCAAAAGGAAGCAAGAGGAGCGAGAGACGAGGGGTGACATTTTTGCCTCCGGGCCGATAGCGAGCCACGCAGAGTGCACTGCGCAGGCGGAACCGCTCGAAAGTGGCTGGGGAGTCCCCACAGACGCGGTCTGGTCATCCCGAGGGAATCCCATCGACGCGCGGGGGTCGTCCACTGCAACTCAAAGTAAACGGATAGCTCCCCCGTGCTGCGCGGCGAGGCGATGCAAAAATTGCGCGATATGGGTGAAATCCCCCGACAGGCGCCGGTCATCCTCTGGCGAGAAATCCCGACGACGAGCTGGGGTCATCCAAGCGTCAGCGACAACCAGCGCGCGCCGCTGGCTCGTGCGGGGCCGCTTCCCAGGTCAGGCCTCGCGGATGAACTCGCTGAAACCGAGCTCCCTGGCGAGGGCCGTCGCCTCCCTCCTGCACCGCTTCGTGCGCGCAGCAAACTGCTCCAGTTGCTTCCGACCTTCGGTGGAGATCCCTATGGGGCCACGAAACGTGTGAGGGGTGTGCCGAAATGGGTGTTGGGGAGTGCCGAAATGGGTGGTGGGGAGGCATGCGAACCCTGCCACTGGGGCCTTCGGTGGAGCTCCCTATGGGGCCACGAAACGTGTGAGGCGTGTGCCGAAATGGGTGGTGGGGAGGCATGCGAACGCAGCCACTGGGGCCTTCGGTGGAGCTCCCTATGGGGCCACGAAACGTGTGAGGGGTGTGCCGAAATGGGTGGTGGGAGGCATGCGAACGCAGCCACTGGGGCCTTCGGTGGAGCTCCCTATGGGGCCACGAAACGTGTGAGGGGTGTGCCGAAATGAGTGGTGGGGAGGCATGCGGACCCTGCCACTGGGGCCTTCGGTGGAGCTCCCTATGGGGCCACGAAACGTGTGAGGGGTGTGCCGAAATGGGTAATGGGGAGGCATGCGGACCCTGCCACTGGGGCCTTCGGTGGAGCTCCCTATGGGGCCACGAAACGTATGAGGGGTGTGCCGAAATGAGGCATGCGGACCCTGCCACTGGGGCCTTCGGTGGAGCTCCCTATGGGGCCACGAAACGTGTGAGGGGTGTGCCGAAATGGTGGTGGGGAGGCATGCGAACGCAGCCACTGGGGCCTTCGGTGGAGCTCCCTATGGGGCCACGAAACGTGTGAGGGGTGTGCCGAAATGGGTGGTGGGGAGGCATGCGGACCCTGCCACTGGGGCCTTCGGTGGAGCTCCCTATGGGGCCACGAAGCGTGTGAGGGGTGTGCCGAAATGGGTAATGGGGAGGCATGCGGACCCTGCCACGGGGGCCTTCGGTAGAGCTCCCAATGGGGCCACGAAACGTGTGAGGGGTGTGCCGAAATGGGCGTGTGTGACGATGACGATGATGATGACGATGATAATGATGATGATGATGATGATGATGATGATGATGATGATGATGATGATGATGATGATGATGATGATGATGATGATGATGATGATGAGGATGATGACGATGACGATGGTGGTGGTGATGGTGATGATGATGATGACGATGATGATGCTGATGATGGTGATGATGACGACGACGACGACGATGATGATGATGATGATGACGATGGGAAGAGGGAGGAGGGGGGGGAGGAGGAGGAGGAGGAGAGGAACGCGGGGCACCGTCTCTTCAAAACGAGGACCCAACACCACAGGATGGTTGGGAATAACTTCGCCACGCCATAAAGCGTCCGAGGGAGCCCACAGGGCGCCATGGCGGCCGCAGCGGCCGCCACTTCTTCGAGGCGGTCCCAAAGGCCTCCAGCCCGCCCCAAGAGGGCCCCCAAATGGTTTCGGAAGGGACCTACACGGCAGAAGTCCGTGATGCCCCGTTTTTTTTGTCAGAGAGTGCCGTCGTCGCGTGCCCGTGCGTCCCTATGTTCGGAGACGGCGCAAGAGACGTGCCAGGAAACCCCAGCAAAAGTACAGGCGCGACCCCATACACAGCCGTTGCTCCCAGACTGCCCCAGGAGCCCGCCCAGACTGCCCCAGATGGCCTCCAGACCGCCCGAGAAACCCCTAAGATGGCCCCAAGAGGCCCCCACGCGGCTCACAAGGGGCTCTCAGGAGAAGGCGAATATCGTTCAACCACCGATGGCATTTAATGTTTCAAAAATTTCGATTCGCCGCTTCCAAAGAGCCTCCAAGGCCCCTGGATGGTCCAACAACGGCCGTCGAGGAGCCCTAGGAACGCCCCAGGCGATCCACTGCAGCCCACAGTACCTGTCAAGATGGCTCCGAGACGGCCGAAGGTGGCTCCGATATCGTCTTCGAGGCCGCCAAGACGGCTCCACATGGCCTCCAGACAGCCCCAGGCTCGACAGGCCCCCGAGAAGCTTCCAAGACTTTTCCGTACCAATTGTGGTTCAAGTGGCATCGGGGGACATATGCGCGTCGATAGTTCGTAGTGGGTTCGTGGAGGGCCGCCGCAATGGTTTGCGCTGCGGGCCCAGCCAGAACCAACGAGGAGCAGAGCGGCGTGTTGCCAAAGGAGGCCTCTAACGAGGGCAGCATGCCTCGTGCTTCGACTCTGCTGGGGCGAAGGGCTTCATTTACCGACATGGCCTTGGTGAACGTGCCATCCGTCGTTCGACAGAGTGGACGGCAAGCTCAGCTGAGAAGTCATGCCGTTCAAGTGGCCGAGGGAGGGGGAGCCCATGCGCCAGTTCATCTCAGGTCCGAAGTCATAACCAGCAACTTTGCCAAGTTTGAACGTATTGGTATGGGCTCTTCAAGCGTTGCTTACCGTGCGCTGAGGCTCTGTGACAACAGGACTGTCGTCATTAAGGCATTGCGTCGCTTGGATGTCGGCCCGGTGTCCTTGGCGAAGCGGGAATTTGATCTCCTCACCAATTTCAGACATCCCAATATCATCGTCGCCTTAGATTTCCTGGAATCGCTATCGTGTGTGGCACTGGTGTTGGAGGACATCGCGGGCCGCACTCTGCGTTCGGTTGTGCGTTCGACTTGTGCGGGCCGCCTGGACGAGCTGTGCTCCATGCGCTTGTTCGTCCAAGTGGCTGCCGGATTGGCTTACCTGCATGGCAGGAACACGGTTCACCGCGATCTGAAGCCTGACAATTGCCTCGTCTCGAAAGGGGGCGTCCTGAAGCTGATCGACTTCAACGTCGCCGCGAGCACCGAGGGAGGCGAGCTCCTGACCCCAACCGGAACGAGGGAGTTCCGCGCCCCAGAGGTCCTGAACAGGCCGTACGCGTCGCCAGCGGACGTTTGGTCCCTCGGCCTGTGCCTGCACTTCATGCTGCACGGCCGCACGCCCTCCCGCGACTCCGACGACGAGCCGACGGCGACCTCCGCGGCGGCGGCCTCCACCGAGACGTACTCGGAGGACGCCGCCGACGGCAGCTCCGACGGCGGCGGCGGCTCGCCGAGGGGGCGAGCGATGACCGAGCAGCCCCGGGACGCGTGGGGCGGCAGCGCGTGGGCCCTGCAGCGGTGCTGCCTCCAGGACTGGCGGCAGCGGGCCACGGCCCAGGAGCTCTTCGCGGGTGCGTCCGGGTGGCTCGCCGGTCGCTGAGCCGGCCGGGCGAGCCGCGCGGACCATCGAGGGCAAAAGAACCCCTGACCCCAAGAACAGAGTGGAGACGCGGCCTCACTCGGGTCCGCAGTTTTGCATCAGAAGTACAGTCAACTCGCGCAGTAAGGTGAGGGGCCGCTTTTTCAAGGGTGTCCTTGCATCCTTGCCCCTTCGGCACATCCTTGGCGACTCTCGCTGGCCAACCTCGTTCGACAGCCGTTCACGTGGGCCTCCGAGGCCCTTGCATCCTTACCGCGCATCCTCACGATGCGTGTCGACTGTCACAGATCTGGGCGGTTTGGCTTCCTACACCTGCAGAGCATACCCCCCCCCCATCCCTGATGCTCCTGGGTCTCCTAACCTCGGTGCCCTCTCCACGGGTCAGGGGCCCTTCATTGCTGGCCTGCGGAGCCGCACACGGGGGGCCACTGCGCCGTCTACGTTTCGGGCGCCCCGCTCGCAGGAGCGGCTGGCTGCCGCGGCGGGGCTGCGCAGAGCGAGCGCCGGCCGGTCGTGCCGGCGCCCCAGCGGGTGCCGCCCTGAGGCCTCGACTTGCTGCTGCGGCGCCCTCGGGGGCCACGACTGGGGGGGGGGGGGTAGGCATAAGAGGGGGCGGCCTCAGCCCCCAATCGCCCATTGATCGCCGAGGAGAGTGCGATGGCCCCAGCCCGCCCAGGAAGGTGCGGTTCGCCATCGGGGGCCGATCGTCGGTCCATCGACGAGGTATCGCCGATTCCAGGTCGATGCATACTCTCGGGAGGCGAAAACCCACCCCCACCCCCAGTCCCGACGCCCATCCCCGAGCCAGCGATTCAAGGGGTCGGGACTGGGGGTGGAGGTGAAATTTCTCCACTCCTGGACCCCGAAAACCCACCCCCACCCCCAGTCCCGACTCCTTGAATCGCGGGTTCGGGGATGGGGTCGGGACTGGGGGTGGGGGTGGGTTTTCGCCTTCTCATACTTTCCCTATGCCAGTCCCCCCCCTCTCGTTGCCCCTCACGCCCTGGGAGATTGTTCCTGAGGGCAGGCACGCAGGCCTCGAGGTGCGAAGGCAGAGGCTGCGCCCGCCCTTTCCGTTCATGACTCAGGGTACAGCGAGCGGCTTGAATAAGGAACACTTACTCCTCAGGTTTGCATGCGTTATTTATCCTTCCTTTTGCGTTACCTATCATTCATCGTTCCTTACACGTTATTCCTTGGGACAAAAGGGGCTTCGTTCCTTGGGTCAGGCCGATAACTGTATCCGAGGCCTGAGCTTGTACATACCCGCCGCCCGGGGACGGGCGCTGCCCCGGTGCGCCGCCGTGCGCGGTGCGCACACTGCCGCCGGGTGCCGCTTCCTCGGGACAGTGTGCGTGCAGCGCAGGCTGGCAGGCGCCTCCCTCCGCAGCGTTCCGACCCATACTCCAGATGTCGTAATAAAAGGGAGGGGGTCTGGACCCTCCAAGACAAGCCATTTCAGACCTCCTCCGTGGGAGAACCCTCCAAAACATCGTCCCCAGACCCCCCAGGCCCTCCAAGATAGCCTGGAAGAGACCCCCCCCCCGAAATGAGACCCCCCTCCCTTTATTACGAAATCTGGAGTAGCCTCGGTCGGGCAGAGGGCATGTTGGCACCCGCAGCGAGAGAACGAGCTCGCGAGACGGCGGGCCAGGACCGCGCAGGCTTTGTTGCTGTGCAGTCGGACCGAGGTACAAGACCGATGTCGGTTCGGGGGAGGGTACCCTCGTGTTCTTCGTGTTTGTTGGATGTTCTTGTTCATCCGGGGGGGGTGCCCATGAATGTGTTGTTTGTTTTGGCCGACGGAGGGTCTCATGCTCTTGAGGGATGCTCTTCTGGCCTAGGTCCGACAGCAGGCACTGTACCTCTGGGAGGCGCCCCCACCGCTGCCGCCGAGCCCGTGCCATCTGCGGGTGATGACGCGGACCCCAGGCATGCGCTCTGACAGGTCGTTGAATCCCCAAGGGTCGAGGTCGACGAGGGCCCACTCATCCCTCCGCCTCGGGTCTTCTTCTGAGGATGGATCCGATTCGTGCTGTGTTTTTTGGGGTAGTCCTGCCTTGGAGGTGCCAGGCAGGACTTCATTTTTCTATTTCCCATGTTCTCGTGTCGCTGTCCCTGTGGCCCCTGTATCGGGCGCCATGTTGGGCTCCCGCGGCCTGGGCTGAGCCGTTTGCCCGCCGCGAGTCCGACGAATGCCGTCGGACACATGCTTGTTTTTAGGCAGGTCGCTCACAGTTCGCGACCCCTCTCGTGTTCCTAATTGTTGGCCCCTCGTTCAGGTCCTGACAGGACCCAACCATACGCAGGTGTGCCACCGTAGGGGTATAAACTTTCCAGCCGCCTTGGGACAGGCGCCCCCGACAGCGAAAAAAATTATGTTATACCGTTCTTCGCCCGTTAGGTGCAGAGAGGAGACAAGAAGAAAGGGGAATAAGGAGGAAGAGGACAAGGAGCAAGGGGGAAACGACAGCTGCGCACAACGCGAAGCGAGAGCGTGCGGGGCGCGGACGCGGCCGCAACAGTCGGACCGAGGTATCAGATCGAGGTCGGTTCGGGGAGGGTACCCTCGTGTTCTTCGTGCTTGTTGGCTGCTCTTGTTCATCCTTGGGAGGGTACCCTAAGATGTTCGGTTTGTTTTGGCCGGCGGAGGGTCTCGTGTTCTCGAGGGGTGTTCTTCCGTCCTAGGTCCAGCCGTAGGTGTTTCGAGCCTGGGCCTCGGCGGGAAATGCGGGATCCTGGGGTCTGGGGGCTGACACCGCCGCCTGGCCGAGCGCGGCTATGCGGGGTGGGGTAGTCCAGAATCTCGGTGCTCCATCACTCCTACGGTGAAGGGGATGCATCCACCCAGATTCGAGGGTTGGCGCGGTGCACCGCTCCCAGGCTATTTCGACAAATTGGTCGTCGGAGGCTCATAGACGCGTGCCGCCTGGTCTTCCTTGTGCAAGGGGACTGGCGGTGGTGATTCTGGGCACCGTGTCTACACGGGCCAGGTGGCCCGCCTTGTCGTCGTGGGAATTCTAGGGTCCCGACCTCATTGAGGCGAAGGCTTGTGTCGTTGTCTGAGTTGAGGTTGCGCGGAGGGACATGATCGCGGCCTCCAGGCCTGCTCAAATGGGGTGAACGCTCAGCCGTTGTAGTTTGCCGGCCGCACGGAGGTACATATTTTGTGTTGCTGCTGGCGTGCCTTGGCAGCCAGCTCCAATTTTTGCGTGAATGTTTTCAGCCGCGCAGCCGAGCTTCCCCCTCTCTGTTTGCGCCTGCTCTCTTTGAGGCTTGTGTCTTGGTGGTGTTCTTGACGATGCCCTTCCCTGCGCTCGTACGCCTTGTCTCCGTCGTCCTCCTCGTCCTCATCCTCCTGACTGCCTCATCCTCCTCCTCCTGCTCCTACTACTCCTCTTCCTCTTCCCTCGCACTCCATCGCCCCCGCCCCCCCCATTTCCCCCCGAGGCTCAACCTGGCGGCTTGCGCCCTGAAGCTCGAGGAGCTGGCCGGGGGCTTCCCCCGATGAGGGCGCTTTTGGCCGCCACTTCTGGCTGCGGAGAGTTTTCGTCGTCCTTGTCGTCGTCGTCGTCCTCGTCGTTCTCCTCGTCCTTCTCGTCCTCGTCGTCTTCGTCCGTGTTCCCCTCGCCTCCTCTTCCTCCTTCGCCTCCTCCTCCTCCTCCTCCTCATCTTCCTCCTTCTCTTCCTCCTCCTCCTCCTCCTCTTATTCCTCTTCCTTTTCTTCCTCCTCCTCCTCCTCCTAATCCTCCTCATCATCATCATCATCATCATCATCATCATCATCAGCATCATCAGCATCATCATCATCATCATCATCATCATCATCATCATCATCATCATCATCATCATCATCATCATCATCATCATCATCATCATCATCATCCTCATCCTCGTCCACCTCCTCCCTCCCATCATCATCCTTTTCCTCCTCCTCTTCCTCCTCCTCCTCCTCCTCCTCCTCCTCCTCCTCCCCGCCGCCGCCTCGGCACCCGAAAGAGAACCAGCCGCGAACAACCCCACGTTTGGAGAGGCAAACGAGCCCAACGCCGGGCGCGCAGTCGTCGCAGCAAAGATCTGAGATCTTCTGCCCTGGGCCAGTCCGGACCCAGTTCAGTCAGGCCTTGAAGGCCTCGCAGAATCCTGCAAGGTCCTGCGAGATCCTGCACCCAAGCCCGGGCCAATGCGAAGGACCCTGCAAGATCCTGCAGGATCCTGCTCCCAGACCCGGGTCAAAATGCAGCTCTGGCCCTGCAGGATCCTGCAGGATCCAGCGCTCTGGCTGGCCCCCGTTTGCATTGACCCCCGTCTCCTGAGCCCCGAACAGAGGTTTCGGCAGCCTGGAGGAAGTAGGATCCAACCGCGAGCAGTAAGCAATATTGTCCGTCCTCATCGAACAAGCGCTTGTGTGCAGCCAATATATGGTCGACGTGTGGACGGTCGGAGTCGACACGTGGTTCGTGGCGCCAAGATGTTCGAGGTCGAGGAGGCGCTCGAAGCAGGTCACCAATACTCATCCCACGTCAAGCAGGAGGGTCGCGGTCACCAGCTGGGTCCTCCTCGCCTGCATCTCCTCAATGGGTTCGCGAACGCACTGTTGAAGCGTGGGGAACGCGCTGGAGCAACTCGCCTTCGAGGAGACCAAGCGCTGGTACGGCCAGTTCTATTCCAAGGCGGTCATAGAAGATCTGTGGTTCCAGTGCCGTCTGTTTCGTCTCACGGAGAGTTGCGACCAGAACGGCAAGACATTATCCATACACATAGCGGATATCGACCTGCCGACGATGCAACCAGACGGCTCTGGCGAGCCTTCTGTGCTGTCGGACGCGCGTTTGAGGCACCTTCTGGGCCCCGACGTCGCTAAGATCGGGGCTATTCGAACGATCGGAACCGCCCCGCCAGAGTACATGGAAGAGATGATCCCAAACACCCTCGGCAATGCTTGAGATTGTGTCCAGTCCTGTCGCTGGCCGGAGTGCTTGCCGTTGTCTTGCTACCAGTTCCGATTTCAGAATTTATGCACTGAAGGTCTGTCGCGTTGCTTTGCTACCTGTTTCGGTACCGGATGTCATGCGGTGTGGATATTTGTGCGGCGGCCTCTTACTAGGAGAAGTGGGTGGTTTGAGTCAAGAATGTCTGTATTCCAATGGGGCCACTGACATCATTCATGTGTATGGCTTGAGCATTGTTGTGTGCGTTGTCGTTTCTGGTTGGTTCCTTCTCGTCTGTTCCTCCTCCCCCGCATGCAGTGTGACATTCAAGCATCAGTTCTAGCCTATTCGCTCGATGCGTCATCGCGGCTCTCCCCGGGCGCTGGAGGAGCCTCTGAGCTCTATGGGGAGCCTCTACGTATGCCTGACTCAGCGCGCTTTGGGAGCCCTCTGGGGAGCCTCTGGCTCTGGCGGCCTTTTGGAGGGCCGTGTGGGGACCTCTGGTGGTTCTTGGGAGCGTCCTGGGGTTTCTTCGGGGCTTTGGGGGGCTTTTGGGGATAACGTGGGGCCTCTCGGGGAGTCTTGGTGCCCTTCGGGACCCTGTCGGAGGGCTTCTTCTTGGGGGCCATGGTGAAGCCTTAGAGGTTCATCGGAGACGGGAGCGCGAGAGGGCGAAACTTATCGATGTTCCACACGTTTTTGAAACCATTTCGGTCTCTCGGGGGCGTGCTCGGGGGCCTCTGAAGCCCTGTGGGGGTTGTCTTGGTGGAATTTGGGGCTGTGTCGAGGTTGCCGTGAGCGATCTTGGGCCGCCCCGCGAGGTCCGGGGGGTCCAGGAGGCGGCCCTGGTGAGGTCCCGCGAGGTCTGGGAAGCCCGACTGGCGGCCAGACTCCTGGGGCCTCTGGGGCCCGCCAGAAGAACTTGTGGGGGCGCCCATCCGTGTCAGTTTCCTTGGTAGGAGATAATTCAGCGAGGAATGCGTATGTATACATGTATCATTAATGGTATTGGATAAGCAACACAGACATCTACATGTACACAGATCGACGGTCATGTGCATGTAAGCATGGAGGTATGTAGAAACGATCTGTATATATTCCACACACACATATATGTCTGTATGTATGTATGTACGTATGTATGTATATCTATATATGTGTGAATATATGCGTGTGCCAGCATGTATGTATGTGGGCATGCATGCATGCATGCATGCATGCATGCGTGTATGTATGTATGTATGTATGTTTGTGTGTATGTGTGCATGTGTGTTGTTGTGTGTATAGGTGTAGGTATGCGTGTTTGCGTGTATGTATGTACGTATGTATGTATGTGTGTATGAATGTGTGTATGCCTGTATGTTTGTAGGTGTATATGTGAGCATGCATGCATGCATGCACGCATTCATGTATGCATGTATGTATGTATGTGTGCATGTATGTATGTATGTATGTATGTATGCCTGTGTGTCTGCATGCTTGCATGTATGTATGTATGCTTTTGAATGTAAGTATATATGTGTATGTCTGTGTATGTATGTATGTGTAGACATACATACATATATACAGATCTGGGAGGTAGCGGGCATTACCGGGCTGGGCATCGCGTAATTGCGGAGGGCAATCAATGAGGGGGGAAAGCGAGAGCTACAGAAACGGGACCCATTAAGACCCCCGAAGAGGCCCTTCCAGAAGGGGGCCTTCAGGGCCCGGGGAGTGCAACGTTCTTCTCCCCCCAGTTCTCGGCGAGAGCTTCTCGCCTCCCATTAGGCGACGCCCAACCTTGGTTCTCCGCGATGCAAACACAGAAGAATAGCGTATATGCTTTACATACATGCACACACATAGATGTATGTATGTATGTATGTCTTTATGCATATGTACATGTAAGATTGTATGTATGTATGTGTGTTCATGAATATGTATAGGTAGGTGTGCATGCATGTGTATATGCATATGTGGATACATGTTTGTGCATTCGTTGATGTATAGTTGTATATGTATGATCGCAGTGATTCCTCGACGCGCGGGGGCTCTGGCTTCAAGCTCTCATTCACCGGGCGCCCTCGCGCGCCCGTCCCTCCCGCGCACCTTCCACTGGATGCTCGCCTCGCTCCCGGCGGCTGCGGCGTCCTACGTGCACCTGACCCCTTGCGGGGCCGGCGCCTTGCCGGCCGGCGTGGCCCCTGGCGCGGGCCCCGCGACCCGGGACGTGGGTACGCAACTGCCTGCGCCGCTTCGCCTCGGAGGACGAGGCAATCGCGGGCTACCTTGCCGAGGCTGACCGCCACGGCGCCCCAGTGCCGCCTCCCCTCCACCGCTGGGGAGGATGGCTCAGGAGGAGAACGCGTTCGACACCGGCGAGGAGGAGGTCGAGGACCTTGGCGCCTGGTTTGGGCATGCCACGCCCCAGAACGTGGCGGCCGCGACCTTGCTGCCCGCCCCCGCTGCTGGAGCGATCGCCGGGGAGTTCGGG